GTATCAGAACCGCTCACGGCGCATGCGCAATCATGACAACACCACTCGCCCGCTATTTCCCTAATAACACACGCTGTTCATTTTTATTTCTACACTTTTTTTTACTCACAAAGATTGTCAAGAAAGCGTGTTTGTCGTGTTCATGTCAAATTAAACTGATCACAAAACACAGATTTACTTTCTTTATTTCGTTTTCCTCATCCAACCCCCATAAATCCCTGTGTGTCCTCCTGCAGCACTCCTGAAGGACAACAGGCAAAACAAGACAAAAAAGTCTGATGTGTTGAGTAAAAACTGCTATTTTTAGCACATTTTTAGGGCCGACGTGTTGCTACCAGACGTACAGTGTGAGCAGTCAGGTCGCATCCGAGAACTGGGTCGTACAGTGTGAGCACATGGCTCGTGAGATCTGCCCTGCGAGGAAGTCGTACAGTTTGAGCTGAAGCTGAACGCTGCGAGTGAAAAAGTCGCACAGTGTACGCCCGGCTGTCTCTAAAATATAGATAAATGAGAACACAACATGACATGAGAATAATACTCATAAAACAGCATGTTTTAGCACTGTTTGTCGACTACAGAAGCACATTTATAAACAGAAACGTGAAGTCGCCATCTAAAAAAACAGAGCAACTGATTTTTTTGTGTGATATATGCTTGTCAGCCACTAGATAAGAGAAATACTCCGGAAAGAAGCTTTAAAGCTGCAAAGGCAAATTTGCAAAACAAATGTGCTTAAAACATTTTTTTCATGTCTCTTAACAAGACTGTAACATAGTATAGCTATACATATTTTGTGGAGATTGCCTAAAAACCTCCACCAGTAACAAGTTGCAGAGAGAAAGCAACTATTGGATCATCAAATTGCTGGTCTCGCCAAACCACCGCACTTCCTTGAGTCCTCCACTCATAACGCACTCATGTATTTAGCAACAGAACAACACTGGTGTGGGAGGTACTAATATCAGACAAGGAGAAACAGCTGGCTGCTACCACTTCAACCTTAGGATAAACTACCAGAGTCCCAAAAATAAAAAAACACCATTTGAAGTTACAAACAAACACTAAGAAAACAACGACCGGCGTTTAGCACTATCTCAGTTCCGGCAGAAGTGTCTAAATGAAGATACGCAAGTGAAAGAGTAAGTCTTCCCATAGACATGAATATGTAGACGCCGCACCAGGCACTGGAGAGCTTAACAGCATTGCTGTCAAATTGGATGAGTTCCACACTCTCTAAACCCAACTGCAGTCAACTCAAGTCAGCAATGTTCCCATATACCTTTTATTGTACACTCTATGATTGCAAAAACTGGTGTACTATTGAAAACAGATCACATGAGTCATTTCTGGGGCATTCTAGCCTATATATATATATATATATATATATATATATATATATATATATATATATATATATATATCATTTATTTTATGAAAGTATATTTATATTAACATGAAACTATATTTTAACATTCATGCTATACCACATGTCTGATGTTGTGAGAACGCATGACGAAATATATTTTTTTGTCGGGCAAGTACCTTCCTCAGTAAAAATAAATGCACTTTGAGTGATTGGAGACCCATCCAAGATGGTGGCCGGCCATTAAGGCAGCTCCAATAGGCAGCGCCAGTCTACGGGGCATTTACGTATATGATGTCTGTGCTTTTACAGTCAAAACCTTGCTTTTTTGCTGATTTATTTTGACAACTTTAATCCCAGCAAAGCAAAATGTTTTCACAAGCGTTCAAGGGTTGCTTTGAGCTTTAATCTTTATCGCATGATTAATTATTTCTAATCTGGTGAGTGTTCCCTTCAGGATGATAAAATGGGCTCTGTACTTTTTTTTTTTTTTTACTTTTGGGACTCTTTGTCGAGCAGTGCCTTGGTAGAAAAATGAGTGCAGGTTTGTTATCAAAGTCACAGCATGACATCAGGTCAGACAGTGGGAGGTAAGAGAAGTTCATTAGTGGGGATCTCTGGTTTTAAACTCATGAGCCTCATGCTGTTAGCTTTGACTGGGTTCCAATTCATGAATCCACAAGAGTACTACATTATATTAAATTACACAAGAAAAGCACAAGATTTCACTTGTAGTGCAGGTGGAAGTAGCAGCCATGAGTCCAGGCCAGCAGGAGCAGGTTTTACAAATACTCCAGCTGCTGAATGGGATCTACTGGCCACAGCTGCTCATCTAGCTGTATTGGGTGTGTGGAAGCAGGCATATGGGGAAGGGATGGACTCTTTTGGCAATCATCTCGCTCAAAATACCTCCCAGTGTTTCCATGGAAACAGGAAGCAATCTGCCCTGGCAGCCTATTCCTTGTGGAACCCAAAGCTTTCTGTTCACTTGCAATTGATTTATTTTCCAGTTGAGAGTGCAGCGCTCTGATCGTCTTTGTTTGGTCACTTGAAGTTTGCAAATGTTTGCTGAGATTTTTGCAGATGGGTCAGAGAGGAAGCACAAATGGAAAGAGATAAAAGCATAAGGGAGAGATGTTTTATGGCTTTGAGTTTGTCATTACTTAGACAGCAATGGAGCAGGAAAAAAGCCACCTCACATCCTGTCTTGTCTTCAATTTAAATCTACCAGAACGAACATTCAAGGCCAGACTTGTAAAATGGGGACGGAGGGATAAAAAAATAATAAAGAAAAACAGTAGATATTCACCTTGAGGGTGTCATTGCTGGATTCTTATGTTCACTCGTATGTGGCTAAGAATAAAAGGAAGCAGAAATAGAGATAAAAAGCAAAAATGGGCATTAGCTCTAATGGATTTTGGTTTTATGACTTACTTCTCATGTAATTCCCAAGTTCATCTATAAATCTGGCTGTGTGGTAAGGAGCATACGCTGGGGGAGAGGAGTTTCTGCGACTTCTGATTTGTAGTCATTTTATTTACATATTTTTACAGGCTGACAAATCTCAAAGTATGGAACAGACATAGTGGAAACACACATCATTACTTTTCGTTTAAATTGAAGTACAGCACATGAGTGATCCAGGGCGTAAGGCAAAGAGGATTAGAAAATTGCTTTTTACAGCCCCGTTTACTTGCATTCATTTCTTTGTTCTTCCAAGGATCCATGAGCCGACTGGAAGGGGAGGAGGCTCCCTGAATGACTTGTAGGAAGTAACGCCACGATTCAGTCATTTTTCACTTCACACACACACACGTTTCACTGTCATATTGAGCTGTTGGTGTTTGAAAAAAGTAGCATGAGATATTTTTAGAGCCAAGCATTTGATTCTAATTCACCGTTAGCATTGTTTGTTCAATGTTAGTCTCTAGCCTGCTTCACCAGAAAACAAAATATGCTTCTTTAAGAATCTCTGGAGCGTTTTACCAGCCAGTGTTGATTTATAATAGCCGGTGCTGCAGCTTTAGCTCAGCGCAGACTCTGCAAGCTCACAGGCTCACTGATCATAAACAGAAATTACATCCCTCTTTGTTTTTTGTTGTTTTGTTTTTTGTTTTTAAGGAAACGTGTCAAACATGAGTGAGACATTAGACTTTTTGTTTTGTGATTATTAAAAATTCTTACATATGTCTCCTTTAAAGTCTAATTTAGTTTGAAAGTTGCAAAAAAAAACTAAAAGAAATCCATCATTAACAAAGCCCTCTTTGTGAAAAGACATAATTATTAGAGAAAGAAAGAACAGATGACAAGAACAGTCGTCAGTTTGTTGAAAGGACGTCTCATCTGCAGCTCAGCCCTTCTGGCTGCTGTTATTAAAAACATTGCTGCTGGCTAACTTACATGTCAAATGCAGATTTTACTTCCAATTTTTGTTGTGCTCTCCAGTCACCCTTTATTTCATTTTGTTGCCTTGAAGGCACAAAGAGCAGATCAATCGTAACCGAGTGGTTTGTGTTATACAACACCTGGCATGGACGTGAGCTCTGGCTGAACAAAACTTTCAGGATACATTCAGACAGGATCTGGTTTTCCCAGGAAACACACGAACAACAATTCTATAGCAAAGGAGTAAATTTACACACAATCTGGATTTATTCAGTCGTTTTTCATCATAGAAAACCCTCCATCTAACCTGGCTGTCTCCATCTGATTAAGTGAGCAAATGAACCCATTAAGGCGACCGCCCTCTCCATTATTTCTGTTCACCTGGCATCCTTCTGCCATTGTCATTGATCACATCCATCTTTCTCCACACTGCCTGCTCCCTTTTAAGTACACTTATCATTTTCCTGCTGCCTGCACCACCATCCTTCCTACTAATCTAGCGCTTTTTTCCACCTCAAAGAGCCTTAAGTGGACTGTATCAGGCGGGGCGCAGAACTGAAATGCCAGCTTTTCATGCACCAGACACCATTTTATCACAACAGAATCTGATCTGTAGAGTAAAACATCACAAAAATGATGATGCATGAAGATGATATAAAGAAGGCATTTCAGGGCCTATGTGTCTTTTGTTATAGAGCAACTTTAAAGCCAAAGAGCATAAAATCTGATCGAGGAACAAACTGTTGAGTCTCTGTGCAGATCAGCTGTTGCATGTTTTATTATTGTTTCTATTTATAGACTTTTCTGCTAACTTGCAGGAGGAGAGAACACAAAAAGGCAAATATGCTGCATGAAGCATGTTCTCTCGGTTCAGCTCTCATAACATAGCACATCTTAATCTTTTTAGCCCAGATTTCCCACTTTAGTCGTGGCTCTGCACATCAGGATTTGTATAAAGTGAATTTAACTCTTTTCTGCGTCTGTTTTGGTTTGCACACTGGAGCCATGTCTGCCCAGATAGGTTGGAGACATTTTACGCACGGGCTACAGACTCTCTCTCTCTCTCTCTCTCTCTCTCTCTCTCTCTCTCTCTCTCTCTCTCTCTCTCTCTCTCTCTCTCTCTCTCTCTCTCTCTCTCGCACACACACACGCACACATACACAACTTTCCGCGTAGCAACAGGTTACATGAGTGAGTAAAACTCACTAAATGAGCACAAAAAGCGGGAGTTGTTTGGTTTGTAGAGTCTTACCTGACGATGATGTACATGACCAGCACGTTTCCCACTAACCCCACCATGCACACTATGGAGTATAGAGCAGTGATGATGATCGCGATAACGACCGAGTTGGTGTCGTCCACCAGGCTGCCGGGGACTCCACGGTCCCCGCTGCCAACGCCGCCGCACCGGGTCTCCGGGAAGCTGCCATTGTCGGTGAAATTCCCACACAAGCTGCTGTTGCTGTAAAACAACGGGAGCTGGCTCCGGTGGTCCACGTCCGAGCTGTTCCCGGCGCTCTCCATGGTCCTCTGCGCGCGCTTCCACGTTCTTGGCGGACTGGGTGGCTGCTATGCACCGCTGGGGTCTTTCTGTTTGTCTGTCTCTCTGTTTGTCTGTCTCTCTATCCGGCGTCTCCTGATACGTCTCAGGCGCTGGACGAACCTCAGCGGAAACTCGAAGTGCTGAAGAATTTGCTGGTGATGGGGAGGTGTGTGTGCACGTGGGTGTGTGAAAGAGAGTTTACTTATTCTCGTGTGTCTCAGAATCTCACGCGGAACAGAAGCGAAGCGTTGAAGTGAATTAATTATCCTCCTCCTTTTCTAACCTCCATTCATCCTATTTGCTTAAACATTAGTTCCTCCTTTATTTCTTTCTAAATGAGTCTTGTTTTTTTTTTTTTTTTTTTTTTTTTGTTATCACTCCTCTGACTCTTATGTTTGCGTCCTGGCACGTTCATTCTTTTTCTGTGCCCTTCCTTTTTTCTCTTATTTGTTTAATTCATCCTCTCGTTTTTTATTTAATTCTTTTCTTCATTTTCTTGTCTTTTTTGTGCCTTCGTTGTTCCAGTTTAACCTCCATCTCTGGGTTTATTCTCTCTTTCCCACTTCTCTGCTTCCATCATGTTTGATTATTCTGTTGTTTCTCTTCCTTTGCCCAAATCCATTCTTCCTTCTCTCTTTCTGCACCCTCACCTCTTCATATGTTTTTGCCTTCTTTCTTTTTCTGTCTACTCTTTCTATTCGTCAACTGTCTCAATCCTTCTTTTATTTTTCCGTTACTTCTTCACACCTGCTTCATTTTAACTTGTCCCTATTTCTCCCTTGTGTCCATCATCATTCTTTTCTTTTCTTTCTCTAAACTGGAAAAAGTTAAATTTCTGTGCAATTAATCTGAGGTAATGTTTTACTTTGCTTTGACGTGGATCAAGACTCAAGACAACTTTATTAGTCCCCGAGGGGCAATTTGAGACAGCATTGTGAAGCAGCCGGCACTAAAATCTCTAAATTCTAAAAACACATCCAATTTACACATTTGTAAAACCCATAAAACCTATATACACATTCATGTCATATCCTCACATGTGAATGACCAACAATGAGTAAACCTTTGGCACACACACACACACACACACACACACACACACACACACACACACACACACACACACACACACACACACACACACATACAAGTAATGCACACTCCCCCTATCTGCACTGAGAATTAAGAAGAAGCACAGCTCTGGGAACAAAGGAACTTCTCCTCCTCTGTGTTTTACAGCATGGGCATCGAAGTCAGCGTTTGGAGGGCAGCCACTCGAAAACAGTATGAAGTATCATTTAACAGTATGATGTATCATTTAAGCTTTCAAATTGCTTGAACTGTTTAGGAAAGTGTGAAAATGTTAGGTGTAAAAAATGGAAGAACTTGTCTTGAGCCGGGGCGAGTACTCCTCTCAACTTTCCACCTTTGAGTTGTGTTTTGCAGGAGAGGGAGTTTCCCAGCTGCACCTGGTCAGCAATTAGCGGGTCCTTCTACATAAGGCGGATGGAGAACGCACCACGATGCCGGATGACTGCTACAGCTTGGTAGTTTCCAGCCCTCATCGTGTTTCTTGGTTTTGAGGCTTAGTGTTTTGTGAACTCTTGTGATTTTTGGATTTTTGTAATGCCTTCAGGTTTTTTCGACGTCTCAGGATGCTGCGATGCCCCAATATTCTTCACTCGTGCTCCGTAGGATTACCGCACTCCTCTGAGACACGTTCTCCATTCACCCTGACCAACCCGCTCTGCTCACCTCACGCTCCCCCCCCCCCCCCCACCCCCCCCCCACCCCACTGGGATACACCCCAGCTCTCAACCTCCCCCCTCACTCCAGTGCTTCTCCTCAATTCCCAATAAGGGCTGATTCATACTGACACTGCTCCAGCATGTCGGATCTGTTGGATCGCCATGATGCAACATCGAATGGGTGATCCCACAGTGTTGGATCGTGTTGGAACGTTGGTTGTAGTCGAGCTCTATTTTCTAAATATCCGACGGCGGCGTTGTATGCTGGACGTCTGTTATTGGTACCCAACGTCATTTCCGGCACGACGTAGCTGTAATGTTAATAAATGTTATGTTGGGTTAAATAAATTGCTTTAAGCAATTCATTATTATTAACACCTCTTGTGACCAAAAGCTGTGATACTCTATCAACTTGCCTGGTCTTAAGATGATTAGTCAGAAGATTCTAGTATTATTTTATTCATTAAGGGATTGTACACACTTCATTTTGATTCAAGAAACAGTCAGGTTTATAAAGTAAGAATTTATTTTACAAACAATTAAAACTTGACAGATTAACTCAACTATTACTTACTGTGAGTGGAAGCGAACTAAAGGATGGTGTCTGGAACCTATGTGTGAATATAATGGATTCTGAATCTCCGTATCTGTAACAGCCAGGGCTGGAGGACCCGTGCAAGCACCAGACACAGTAAGACACTTTTATGGTGTCAGGTTTCCGCCAAAACCCGTGCAAGCGTAGCCAAAACCCGTGCACGCGTATTGTCCACATCGCGCGTGCGAACGGGACTCGCGCGTGGAGGTTAGAACCTCATGAGTGAAAATATACATGGCGAGGAGGTCATTTGTACACTGAGAGGGAGCAAACTGTGTCTGTGAGCGCACAAGGATGTGCACAAGTGACAAACCTGCGTGCGCTCGTTGGCCAACGAGCACACGGCAGAGGAAAACATGCGTGCGGCAGCCTCACTGCGCGCTCGGTGCGGCAGCCTCACTGCGCGCTCGGTGCGGCAGCCTCACTGCGCGTCTGGCAGCCTTTCTGCGCGCTCGGTTTCTGATTCTGCTCGCTCGGCTGTTGGGAGTTTTGGCACTCTGGAGGCGTGGAAGAATTAAAGTGCCAGAAACTGAGCAGTTGAACTTTCAATTTGAGAGCAGAATTTCATATCAAGAGACCATCTTTTTAATTTCAGAATACGATTTTATATTATTGCTCTCAAAACTTGTAATGCTTGCGCTCAAAATGTCTGCTCTCTTTCAAATTCACTCTGTTCTCCTTCAAATCTTTGTTTTTGCGCTCAGATTTAACCTTTTTACACTGGTATTGTCTTCTCATGTGACAACTTTTTCTCTACACGGATCAAAACTCCTCCCACAAGTCTGTCCCCTGCTCTCACGGATCTTGTCTGCTCTTGCTCAAAACTTAGAAGTACAATCTCCTAGCAACCGCTCAGCCAATAGAAAGACTTGTGGGACTGGGCGGGAACAAACCTCTTTGGGGTGCGCTCGTTTTGCGCTCTGTAGATTTTCCTGTGTGGCTGCCGCATCTGCGCACTAACAGCCTGGCTAATACCCGCTCTGATCTGGAGCGAGTTTCACCTGCACCAGCAAAATGGACCAGAACCAACAAGACGCTCAAGTAAGTTATTTTTCAAGGCTACTAGCTGCAGTTTATTCCATAAAATTGTTTTGTTATGCTACTTTTTACGACTCCTCACATTTAATATTGCAACAGGGGCACATAGCTAGGTGGATTAGGGTCCTACATGGAATAAAATGTCCGGTGTTTTATCCAGGAACTGGGGATTGAGTTATGAGGGGCTAGATATGTGTCAGGGAAAGATCCAAAAATGTTTTCTAGTGCCGTATTCCCCAGAGTTGGATAAGTGAATGAAAAAGGATTGTTTTAACCAGCGCAGTAATTCTTATCTGCCAGCAGTCTGTCTGCTTTAGATGAGAATAAACCATGTAACTTAATGGGAGGTAGTAGCATTTTGTGTGCAAAACTGTAAAATTACTAAATTATGATACCAGTTATTCCTGTTGAGCTCAATAATCATGTTGACTGCAAATGAAAAGTAAGAAGTAACACATTAGCAGGAGCCAATTTAGACAGTAGACAAATTTTCACTTAGGGTGGAATATCCCTTTAAATCAAACTTCAAACATGCACGTTAGCAATATACAGAATATTTTAATTACATTTCATGTTAATCATTATTGTTTACTTAACAATGATTGTTGGTCACTGATTTAAAAAAATGTCTTTAATAGGTTTCCTGTCCATTGTGTGATAAGAATTTACTCAGGAGTCTATACAACTGCATGCCAGCTTTTCTGGTGAAGGAGGAAGAGGACAGGTGCATGTTTTTACCCATGCACGTTGTACACAATATGTTATGAGAGTTTAATCTTTTTTTTTTTGTTTGTTTCCACATCTGAACAGCATCATACTGGATGTGGATGACTCTTCCAAGCACTTAAGCTGGTTAGAATTTTTACAAACATTTGTGTTAATGTGTAGGTTTTAAAATAAATAATAATAAACACAATGTTGTTGTCAATAGCTTATCAGACATCCTGAAGTTCCTACAAGAAAGAGTTGACAACACTAAAACCTTTAACATTAATGTGACAAGGGACGACCTTTACCAGAGAGGTCTGAAACAGCGGGCCAGACAGAAGCAGGCTTCCCCCAAAAACCAGCTAAGTGTTTCCTTTATTGGAGAACACGACATTGATGAAGGAGCACTACGCCGAGAGTTCCTAACTGGTATGTATCCTTGCTAATGTCAACATACCAACTTTGAATATAGTTGAAAATGGCAAACTGTCATATCTTTTTTCCCAATAGAAATGATGCGAGGCCTTGAGTTGAACTTATTTGAAGGAGTTTCATGCAAAGGCAAAACCCCAAATATAGTATCTCTTACTACCAGGAAAACAGATACAGGTATGTACAGTATGATGCTGCTCTGCAGTGTAACTTGGCTTGTTTTGTGTTCAGGATCTGTGGGGAGATCATTGCCACCAGCTTGGTTCAAGCAGGACCAGCACCGAATTTCTTTTCTACTTGGTCTTACCATTTCTTGCGTCATGGACAAATAACAAATGAAGATGTGCCAGAGGTGACTGATACGGAAACCCAGAACCTGATTCAGGAGGTAAATTAAACAGAATAATTTATTTTCTGTTAATTGTACTAACAAGTGTTTCTGATTGAAGGTCGAACGTGCCGAAGAAGACGCACTGACAGACCTTTCTGATGCCATTGTAGCATGTGGCTACACTGGTCAATTCACAGCAATTGCAAAAGGGCCATCATTGGGTAGGCTATGTTAATGTAGCATTAAACTAGTCATGCAATTTTTGAAAATTGAGTTATTACAAGTTCATTATTCTTTTTACTAGGGCCATCAGTTTGCATTCGGTGATGAGACTCATACCGATGCTAAGTCAGCTTAGAGAAGGACTGGCCAGGGTTTGGATGAGCTGTTGCCACAACACCACCAGGCACTTCAGCCCCTCTTTCTTCCTGGGAACCTTAAACAGGTAAGTACAAATTCTTTAGGCCTCTGCAAAAAAAAATATGTCCATTACAAAAACATATAGGAAATGCAGAGAAGCTGAAGCTGTTTTTGTTCCATCAACAGTTCTAATCGATTCTTATAAAAAATACTAAGAATCAAATCGATTCACAAGTACAAGAATATGTTTGTTTAACATTGTTTGCCCCAATTTATTTTTTACAGCTATCATTTTTTTTACAGACAGCAATTTTAAGTTTTCTTTAAGGAAGCTATCAGATGTATTTTTTATTCTAATATCATGGCAATGAAGTTTTACATATTTTTTAGTGGTATACATCTTCATTTTCTTATATTAATTTAGCTCTGCAGGATAAGCAGAAGCAGCCCTAACAGTTTTATCTTTTTAATTCACAGTATTTTTAAAAACGTCTTTTGTAGGTGGATGCAGACATCGTTGTGGAGGCACTGGCTCGTCAGTACAGTGACAATGGATGAGTAAGACACAAAGGAAGTGGACATGATCAACTTTTTGCAGGACCTCTTGCAAAACCTGGAAGAAGGAGGTAGCCACAGAACCATGCAGGATTATTCCACTTTTACTGCTCATAATGCTTAGCTCTTTTTTAAATTGTTATGTTCAGTGCCTTGGGCTCCTGTAAAGGCAGTGGAAGGTGTTACATAAATAAAAATTGATTGATTGAGAAAATTTTGAAGTGTCAGAGAGACCATTGTGTTTCACCCAATCCCCCATCAAATAAAAAAAATTTAAAAATAAATTATAAATATATTTGTTTTGAAACTGATTTAGCCATTACACCTTAATTAGACAATAAAGTAACTGGCTAATTACAGAGAGGTAATCAGTACCTCAATCATGTTAGTGACACACTGATTTTTTTTTCACCCTTCAGGAACAGATGACCAAGATGGGAGCCCATCAGATGGCTGTGGAGCAAAGCAGTTGTCAGTGCAAGGATTTTTTCAGTGGGTTTCAGGCCAGGCACATGCGCCACTAACAGATACAGAAAGAGAATTTTACAAGATAACTGTAAATGTTGATCACGACGGTACCACCCGGTATGGACCACACTTAATCACCTTACCTACATGGCACGTTACTACATACACTGACTTTGAAAGTCAGCTTACTCAGGAAGTCTGTGATAGATTTGATTTTAGCAGACATTAAGTGAAAACAAGATGGCCACTGTTCTGGGTTCAGGTTACTGTATAATGGTTCATATTTAACTTTGATTCCAAAAAGACAAATGGTTTTGTTAAATAATGTAATGTTTTGGAGCTAGAAAGCGACATTGTTACATGAATCCATAAAGTTAGGCTTATTGCCATTTCAAATACATGTTATGTATTTCTTTTGTAACATTAATAAAAGCACTGGAACTGATCTCTTGATTTTTTATTTCAAGTACACATTAATCTGACAAAGCAGCATTAACATATTCTCTGCACAACAGATAAAGTTCCTTAGCGTTTGAACGCTCCCAATTTTGTGCCAGTA